CTGTGGTCGCCCTGCTGATGACGTCAGCGACGCGGTTTAATCGGGCGCGCTTTAGTGGAGCGCGGTTTTGTCGTGCCACGGCCCCAAAGGCCTTGGCATGAGTGGCTGCTAAGATGCTGGGCAGCTCCTTGCCAAGGCCAGAGGAACAGATGCCCCCCCCCCCCAGCTGGAGGGCTTGGAGGAATCCCTCGGGGGGGGGGGCACCGTAAACCCCCCCCTGCCATCCCCCATACCGTAAGGCCGGCCACCTCTGCGCCGCGTCTCCTCTGACTCAAAGAAGGTTGCGTGCTCCTCCCAGCGTCGGTCGCAGGCCGCGCACAGGAAGCTGGAGGCGAAGGCCATGCAGGAGCAGCCTGGCGGGACAGGAGGGGCACAGGTGGGGCATAGGGGGAGGCACCCGGCCCCTGAAGCAGCCGCAGAGCCCTTTGGAGAAGGGGAGGGGGGAGGACTTCCTGCCCTGCTGCAGAGGTCTTGGGGAGGACCAGCTGAGCTGCACGCCTCTCTAAGGCAGCCTCTGTTGCAAACAGCTTTGCAACTGTCCATTTATAATGAGTAAAAGTACACTTGATTCCAATCCAGTGGTTTCTTTCCTGATTACTAAATGAAGTCAATGCTCACAGTAAGGACACCCTCCTCGTCCGGCTCCTGGCCTGGCCTGCCTCGTGCAAGATTGAGGCCCTCTGTTGCTCCCTCCGTCCCTTTCACTCTCTGGGAACACAGGCCAAGACCGCCTGGCCAGATGGCAGGAAGAGGCGCCGAAGCTCCCGGGAAGGTCCTGAGCTGGCACCCATTGGTAGGGTAGCCCCATTGGAGGAACTGTCTCAAGGGAGAGGGTCCTGGGGGACGGTGCCTGGGTCAGCCTCAGGTAGCCGGGGGAGGGGGCTCCTTAGCCATGCAGCTGGGGGAGATGGGGCCGCTTTGGCATTGGCAGGCAGAACGCAGAGGTCATTCATGCCTGCCCGTTGGGGAGGGGGGCTGTGCAGTGCCGGTGGCTGGAAGAGGCTGAGATTTGCGTGTGGACTTGCTGGAGAGACGCTGCCTTGGTGAGCGATGTGGGTCACGATGAGGAAACCCTGGAAGAAGACCAGATGGGGCTGGGAGCAGAGGAGCCGGGTGTGTTGATAAGACGCCGGGGGTGGAAGGAGTAGGGAGGGAGGGCTTGGCAGGCGGACTAAGACGCGGGCGCTCTGTAGGGCCGAGAGCTGCTCTTATTAGGACAGCCGTAGCCACCGGGGATTGGATTGCGGAGGGCGTTTGGGGGGCATCCTCTCCCTCGAGGCCAGGAGCCAGCCTGCTCGCTAAGAGGAGGAAGGGACTCAGCGTGCCCAGAGAAGCCAGCAGCCTGGGGTGGCGGCCAATGGGGTGCTCACCTCGGACGCAGCATCCCCGTGCTCCGATGGGCGCGTGTTCCTCGTGCGTGTGCGTGCACCGGCATTTTGCTCGCCAGGATGCCACATCAAAGCCAGTTCTTCGCCGAAGCCAGAATTCGCCCACCTCTTCCGGGTATGTCGGAACAAACAGGAACCCCTGGCACCGGCAGTCTGCCACAGTGCAGGGTACAGTGGCTCGTTTCTCTGGAACACAGAATTGGCCCTCAAAAGGGGGATTCCGGAAGGAAGGGTGGGAGGTCATCCAGAAACGCAAGCGGGGAGTCTCTGGCCCCCAAAGCCTCCTCTGGGGGGAGAGAACCCCCTGGGCAGGGAGACCCGTCCCCCCCAAGCAGGAAGGCAAAGGACCTTCGAGTTTGCACAGTAATTCCATTTTTTGGGG